TAAATTTACGTTTATTGTTGCTTCGATATTATTTTTTACATTTATTTTCTAGTTATTTATTTTAATCGTCTTTTAATTTAATTTGCATCATTATCATTAAATACCAAAATATATTAAAATACCCAGACGAAACCTAATCATCCTCGACCCTAAGGAAATGAAAGTACCTATGTCACATTTCGGGATTGGCTTCGCCGTAGCATGATATTGTCCGCTTTGGGCCCCCCTCTTTGCCATCACGGTTTTGTTTCTGGGAACTCACAAGCAACTTCCCAGTGAGTCACCCATCCTGGGATTGCTTTAGCCCCAACTCGCTTAACTTCGGAGTTCCCATGACTCCGAAGCCAGTGAGCTCCGAAAAGGCCTCGTGCTAGATGGAGGCGGGCATGTACATATAAGACACATCACCCCCTCTCCGTTGGTCGATGTGGGATCTTACAATCCACCCCCTTAGAGGCCCGACGTCCTCGTGAGCACACTCGCACCACACGACGGAGTGGCTCTGATACCAAATTACCACATTCCGGGATCAACCACGTCGTAGCACGATATTGTCCGCTTTGGGCCCCCCTCTCTGCCCTCACGGTTTTGTTTCTGGGAACTCACGAGCAATTTCCCAGTGGGTCACCCATCCTGGGATTGTTCTAGCCCCAACTTATTTAACTTCGGAGTTCCCATGACTCCGAAGCCAGTGAGCTCCAAAAAGGCCTCGTGCTAGATGGAGGCAGACATGTACATATAAGGCACATCACCCCCACTCCGTTGGTTGATGTGGGATCTTACAACCTAGGCCAAGAGGAGGTTCCTTGCTTGGTCGATCAATCGGCTGGTTAGAAGTCAGAAGCGCGAACACAACAATTCAACTTTTTCCATTCAAGCCAATCAGTGGCTTAGTTGTGACACGCCTACGCAATTCAAGAGAAGAAGGACCAAACATTCGTTTGGTCAGCCACCTCGGCCAAAAAGAGGGAAACATCTCCTCATTAAGAATGGTCTTGTAATGAACATAAGTGATGCACTGCATGAGCAACTCCAAAATTCTTCCTCTGATTCCCATTTCCTAGAGCACCTCCCTAATAAAAGGCCAACACAACCACTCATAGGCCAAGCTGATTTATCCAAGACCTATGATCGATTGTGTTGGCCCTTGAGGCCATTGTCAACCCAACATACGAAACCTAAAAAATTCAAAATTTTAGCCTAATTCCTCTCTCAACCTAATAAAAGTAAGGGGCTAAAATTTGGGAAAACCCAAAGTTGGGGCGAAACACCAGTCTAGCTATTGCCCGTACTAGATTTTTTTTTTTTTTTTTGTGTGGAACCCATTAAGCCATGAGACCCATGTGCAAGAAGGAAACAATGGGGCCCATCGCTACTCTGCTGCAAAAGATGTTGCGCTACATGTCAGAAGCTGGGGATATTGCCATTGGAATCCAACGGCAAAATTCAAATATCTCTTTTTTTTGTTGTTGAAAATTTCAACAGTAACCCAAATCGACGATCCATATTAAATCCAAGCTATTTTAACGTTAAAAAAAAAACAACTGCTGAAATTTAAATCCAACTGTCAAAATAATATTTTTAATTCATCTAAATTAGATGCATCCCAAAAACTCACTCCAAACTCTATAAATACCCACCCATTTCTCAAATAATCTACCAAAAACATTTTTTTCTTCTATTTCTCAATTTATTTTTCTTTTGTTATTTTCATCAATCTCCTTTCATTCTTGTTGAAGATGTCCACAAAATCTAATTAAAAAGAGTACCATTGGTTGTTAAACACATCATCTTCTTCATTCTTTTTCATATCAATTCAAGCTTTCAATGGATAATTGTGACAAAGCCATCTTTTCCTTTATGTTTGATGGTGATTCAGATTATGACGAACATCATTAGAGAGTAATACAACCCATTGTCCACCATACTTCACTGGAGAATGAAGCCGATCACCTCCCCAAACATGGTGGGTCGGTAGTGGGCCTTGAATACAAGAACTGTGAGAGGGAAGATCTCCATCGCAATCTCATGTCTAACTACTTCTTTGAAAGACCACATTTTAATATTACAGACTTTCGTAGGCAATTCCGAATGCGGAAATAGTTGTTTTACCTCATCTTAAATGATGGTGTCAACCACGAGCCATACTTTTGCCATAAAAAAGACGAGCTCGGCCGACAAGGGTTATCCCCTAAGCAAAAGTGAACTGTTGTCTTTCGTATGCTCGTTTGACGTGACTGAAGAGTACTGTAGATTGGGTGAAAGCACAACTCTTTAATTACTATGTAAGTTTTCTTTCGCTGTTGAAGCCATGTATGGACAATGGTACCTCAAGTCTCCAAATCCAGCTGACCTTTACAGGCTCTTGCACAAAGCGAGCCGTCGAGGCTTACTAAATATTTTAGGAAGTCTTGACTGCATGCACTAGGAATGGAAGAACTGCCCATTTACTTGGGCAAGCCAGTTTACCGGTCACAAAAAAAAAAAAAAAAAAACACATGGATATGACATGCCTTTTTTGTCGCCGTTGGATCTAACAGTAATATCAAAATTTGAGCTCGTTCCCCATTGTTCAATGATGTGGTACATCGAGTGGCTCCCCATGTTGAATATATTGTCGATGGAAATCAATGTCATTTGGGCTACTATTTGCCAGATAAGATCTACCCCTATTGGGGTACTTTGGTGAAGACCATCTCTTCTCCTGATAACCCAAAGAAGAGATTTTTTTACAGAAATGCAAGAAGCGTACATGAAGGATGTTGAAAGAGCATTTAGAATAGGCTTGATGGGCTCGAGGCCTTGCACGTACATGGTGCAAGGATAACCTCGACTTAATCATGATGACATGTATAATTTTGCACAACATGATTGTGGAGGATGAGTACGAATATGTTGAAGAGGAATCTGATGATGAGGATATGTGTCTGCAACGATCCATGATGGCCAAAGCAAGACACTATGAGCTAGAGGCAAACATTACATACGAGTACCACCAAGATAGGCAGACACTCTATGATTACATGACTCGTCATAATAGAGTTCGATCTCCATATGAGCATCAGAGTCTCCGACATGATTTCATCAATTACCTTTGGAGGAGCTTTGGAGATAGTAAATGAGGTAGACAACTGTTTTAATCCTCCTCTTGTGTTTCAATTATGTTGTGTGTTTTCTTTTGGAATAAAATTATATTTGTGAAATTGCAATTTTTTTGGGTAAAATTGTTACAAATTTTTTTTATGAAGTTATTTAAAAAGATTAAATAAAGAAAAATTATCCATGAAAAAAAAATTAGACTTAAACCATTCTTAAACAATTTAATAAAGTTGCAGAGTCTGGAGGACTAGGGAAAAAACAGTTTGAGTCTAGGCAAAACCCAAAAATAGTTACTTTTTGGAGGGAGTAAATTTGGGTTTAGGCCATCTCCAATCATGGGAGGCAAAACCCAAAATTTGGGATTTTTAGCCCAAAACCTTCTCCAACCCATGTATTTGGAGGGGGGGAAATTTGAGTTGATTGAAAAATGGGGTGGAATTTGGCCCTAGATTCCAGTCCAGGCATAATTTTTGTGGGGCCCAATTCGCAGCAAACAAGAGCCACATGGGGCCTCATTTGAAGCAAATGATGGGCTGTTGCCCATTACCCCAAGTTGCTGGCCACGTGTAAAATCCTAGGTAACTTAAAAATTGCACTTCTATGGCTGCATTTCAAATGGGCTTCTTTCAATATTTTTTTTCCAAACCTAAAGGCTAGAAATCAACGGCTAATATTAAATTTTGGCTGGATCAACGGGAAAAAAATAAAGCCAACATTTGAAATTTAAAACCAAAGGTAAAAATAAGTAAATATATTATTCTAAGTTGGATGCAACCTCAAATCATATCTTAAACTCTATAAATACCCATCAATTTGTTAATAAAATTATGTTTGTGAAATTTCAAAAAATTTATGTCAAAATGTTCAAAAAAGAAATCATGGAGTAATATGCACAAATTAACTAAAAAAAAAAATAACCACAAAAACAAAATAGGATTATATTATTCTTTAACAATTTAATAAAGTTGCGGACTCAAATTATGAGTCTGTAAGACCATCTCCAGCCATAGGCTATATCCCAAATATAGCCCTAAAATAATACAAAACCCATCTCCAGTCATGGGCTAAACAAAATTTTTGCCAAATTTGAAGGGCCACATTTGGCCCTTTAGCTCTCCAACCAGGCCACATGTAGCCCAGCTTTAGGAATAGGCCAAATTTGTAGTGGGACACATGCATCTACTTTTCAACAGCCACATTAAAACACGCTGGATATATACATATTTTTAAAAGCCTTTTGGAATGTTTCAATTCGTAGTGTTTAAGAAAAAAGTATAAAAAATTGTTGATAATAATCGTTGGAGGTCAGACCTACCCACTCCCTTTAAAAAGAAATAAATAAATGTGATCAACTTTTCAAATCTTTTCAAGTGTTGTTTAAAAAAAGATTATAAAAAATTCTTGTTCATGACCGTTTGAGCTCAAACATTGAAACCCATCTTTTTTTTTTAAAATGTCTTCACTTTTTAAAATGGAATATTGTTCTTGTTCAAAAAAATTATTGTTCAGAAATCTTGTTCTTATCAATGTATACGCCTCATATATGGAATATTGTCTCTAAATAGTAGTTTAATTAGATTAAACAGTATATAGTTGTGGAATATATGAGTGTTGTACCATAATTTTTCTCAAAATAATAAAATATGAAGGACCCTAAAATATAGCCCTGCACTATTCTTTAAAAAATAACTATTTTGGGGGGCTAAATTTTTAGCCATGAACTACATTTAGCCATATGGCTGAAGATGGGTTGGAGGAAAAAACAGTTTGAGTTATAAAAATACACGAATAGTTGTATTTTGTAGGGTGCAATTTTGGGTTTGAGTCCTCTAGGGCTGGAGATGGCTTTAGGACCAAATGGGTTGGAGAACTCTTTACCAAGGGCATTTTTGGGAATTGAATGTTTTACTCTTCCATCCAACCAAAATCCATTTCCACTTTTTAGGTTGAAATTATTTGATCAACTAACTGCATCCAGCCGCTCATTCCTCTTTCAAAAACAAACACATCCTACTCATCTTGCAGTCGACGGCCTTGTCTCCTGATTAAGGTGCACTCCTTAATCCTACTGCACGCTTCTTCTTTGAAAATCTCCACCTAGTCCCAGATCTCCAACCGACCCGACCGGAGGAGGGCATCTTGACCCGGCAGAGGAGGACCTGGTTGTGTAAACTCATAAAGGCGATGAACGCTTCGATAATCGGTAAGCCTCTCTTTCTTTCTTGCTCTCCAGAGTTCACTTTTAATTGAAAGATTTGCTTTTTCTTTTTCTTTTTCCTTGAATGGGTTTTGGAACAAAGTAAAAAAATAAGTGTGTAATTAATTAATTAATTAATTGTAATTCGTATTTGGTGAAGACCCATTGCAAGGAGATTTCCCAGAAGTGATAGAGGAGTATTTGGAACATGGGGTTATGAAATGCATTGCCTTTAATCGCCGTGGTACCCTTCTTGCTGGTAAAGTTTCTACCTTTCTCCATCCCCTTCGTATTTTTTTTAGACTTTTTTTCATTAGAATGTAAGTGCTTTGGGCAATGTGGGTATTTCAAAAAATCTGATTTTCTGTTTGTTTTCATTTAGTTTTGTCCTGCTGTTTGTGGGTTCCTTTTTGCTTAAGAAATGGCTTATTCATAAATAAGAAGAAGGCTGTAACTTTGGTTGCACATTGGGTGGAGAAACACCATTGTCAGTTTATACGCCACTCACTTCTTCTTCTTCGTCCACAATTTGTACTTTTGAAACGAATATAAGGAGTTGAATCCACAATTTGTGACAAAGTAGAATTGCTAGCTATCCAATTTAAGGATCAAGCAGGTGCATTATGGAGCCAGAATTTCTTTAGCTGTTGATGCCTTTTAGTGTTAAATTTTGCAGGCTGTAATTTCAGGAAATCTTCAAATTAAATTTATTCTTTGCATTCATTACATTCCTCTTGGCATTTGCTGCACTCAAATCTTTACTGGAGATATTCCAACAATTCTGCTGTGCTGATGCTTCATTTTGATATTCTTGATCAGCTGGGTGCTCTGATGGAAATTGCGTCATCTGGGATTTTGAGACCAGGGGTATTGCTAAGGAGCTTCGTGATAAAGACTGTGTTGCTGCCATAACTAGTGTATGTTGGTCAAAGTATGGCCATCGCATTCTCGTGTCTGCTGCTGACAAGTCATTGACACTATGGGATGTTGTCAGTGGTGAGAAAATCACTCGAACGATACTCCAACAAACCCCTCTACAAGCTCGGCTACATCCTGGTTCCTCTACTCCATCTCTCTGCTTGGCATGCCCCCTCTCATCTGCTCCCATCATTGTTGACTTGAATGCAGGAAGCACAACTGTTCTTCCAGTTTCCATTCCTGACGTTAACCCGGGACTTGCCCCTTCGTCACGGAACAAAATTTCTGATGGCACTCCTCCTTTTTCTCCTACTGCTGCTTGCTTTAATAAGTATGGGGATCTGGTTTATGCAGGGAACTCGAAAGGTGAAATACTTTTAATAGATTACAAAAGTGTCCAAGTGCGTGCCATGGTTCCTGTTTCTGGAGGTTCTGTGATTAAGAACATAGTGTTCAGCAGGAACGGACAGTATCTGCTTACAAATTCAAATGATAGAACAATCAGGATCTATGAGAACCTTCTCCCCTCGAAAGATGGACTTAAAGCCCTAGGTGACCTAAATGTGACCCGTGATGGGATTGATGATAGTGTTGAGAAGTTGAAAGCAGTTGGATCGAAATGCTTAACCCTTTTCCGTGAGTTTCAAGATGCCATCACAAAGATGCATTGGAAAGCACCTTGTTTCAGTGGTGATGGTGAGTGGGTGATTGGCGGTTCTGCAAGCAAAGGGGAACACAAGATTTACATATGGGATAGGGCCGGGCATCTTGTGAAAATTCTGGAAGGGCCAAAGGAAGCCTTGATAGATTTAGTGTGGCATCCTGTTCACCCCATTGTTGTCTCTGTTTCACTGACTGGTTTGGTTTATATCTGGGCCAAAGATTACACTGAGAACTGGAGTGCATTTGCTCCTGATTTCAAAGAGCTTGAGGAAAATGAGGAATATGTAGAACGAGAAGATGAATTTGATCTGATCCCTGAAACTGAAAAGGTGAGAAGAAATTAAAATCTGGGCAGATTTTTTGTTTATTTATGTTGTGTAATATAAAATTATTTTTTCAGGTGAAAGAATCTGATGTTAATGAAGATGATGAAGTTGATATTGTGACAGTGGAGAAAGATTCAGCTTTCAGTGATTCAGATATGTCACAGGAGGAGCTATGCTTTTTACCTGCAATTCCTTATCCTGATGTTCCTGAGCAGCAAGATAAGTGCATAGAAAGTTCATCGAAATTGGTGGATAGTAATAATTCTGGCTCCCCTATTTCAGAAGAGGGCCGACCAAATGGACGTGCAAATAATCATGCATCAAGTCCACTTGAAGGTAAGCTTATGCATTGCATGCATATTTGTGTTTTTTGAGTTTGGTTTTTTTCAATGGCTTAAATTCAAATTCACAACCCCACAACTCACTCTTTTCTTTTCTTTTTCTGTAAAAAAAAAAGCAATTTTTTTAATGAATATGTGAAACAGTACAATAAAGCTAAACCAGTAGTGCGTCTATCGGGCATAAAATTAACATCCCAATAGGGTGATAACAAACACTAACATTTGGGTTTCACCTTTAAATAATAGATGGTCAAGATTCTTGCGTCCTTTTTTCTCATCACACACAAATGAGGTAACAACCAACATTAGGCCTTCTCCTTTGAATAATATCACTAAATCAAACCCCACTAGTCAGCTTAATCTATGAGGTTTTGGCGTTGTTGCTTAAAAAAAGAAGTAAAACACTGAGTTCAAAACTCTGATCTTGAGTTTGAAACCCTTGATTACTAATGTGATCCTGTCACCCAACATATAAAGCTCTAGTGATGATTTAACTACACATTGAGCGTGTAATTAGATTTTAACTGTTCTTTTTTCTCCCATGTTTTACGGGATAAATTGGCTCTTATCCAACGATATATGTCTCCAGTTTTTCTCCCATATATTTATGTGTCTCTATTACAGAGGATGCTGGTGCAACACGGTTGAAAAGAAAACGTAAGCCTTCCGAGAAGGGGATGGAGTTTCAGGCTTAGAAGGTAAGGAAACCCTTTAAAATCTTCTGTTAGATCGTCATAACTTGAACATAAGCTTGTAGTCAGGATTGTTGTAATAATATTGATGGGGATGATGTAACCAGTAGATTATAGGTTGTTAAAATTTTCTTTTGTATTTTTCTATTTTCTTCAAAGTTAATTACAATCAAGTCATTATGAAATTAGGATATGGTTAAAAGATGTCTAAATTGTAAACCAAAATATGTTGGACAACTTTTCTTTTTTGACTCATCAAGTACTTGGATTTTTTCTTTTCGATGCATCAGTGGTTTCTCGGGTATCTAAGTTTCTTTCAAAATTTCCACGTCTTAACAAGTTTTTGTGGATTCCACAAATTTTTATGATATATTCACCATTCTACTCCTTGTTTATGTAAATCCAGAATAAAGATGTTTTCTTAAATCTGAACTGCCGATATATCTAACAATAAAATTTTAACCTAGACGATGGTGCATCACTGCTGTCATCGCTTTTCTTTCTTTGAAAAAATAAAAATAAAACCTTGCTTACTGTATGAACTTCATTTGAAACTATATGTGCTGGTATTCTAATTTTCATAGATTTGGTTCTGCCATCTGTGTTAGTGATTGTTAGTTTTCTCAAATTTCTGCACACTATGAACTTCATGGTTAAGTGGTGAAACTCTTTGTTTACAATCTTCATGCTTACTCTTTTAACAGTAAAGCTTTTCAGGTTCTATAGGTTTGTTCTAAATTGTTTGTATCTTGATATTGAGTGGATTGTAACCCAAAAAAAAAAACAGACATTTAAGTAGATTTTAGCAACATATAGGAAGAACAAGACCTGGGAAAAAAATTAAGCAACACAAAAAGTTCCAAATTATAGATAAGGTCCTTATTGTGGTATTGTACCTTGACAGGTGGCACTTATATTTATATATCCTTCCCAAAGGAAAGAGACCTGTGTTTTATTGATGTCCGTCTTATTTTTATGTTCTGCAGTTTTCAACAACAGCAAAATGACCACAATTAATGTTACAAGGTATGACAATCTCTTGCATCTCCAAACTTGGTACCTATTACAGTGGCAAGGACAAAATATTGTGATGACTCATGGACCAAGTATTACATTGCTCCAGCAAATCAACGTTGAATTCAATCAACTGGTGCTCTCAAGTATTCTGCTATCTCTTTCCACCGATGGGCACCTCGCTCTGTTTTACAGGGAAAGCTCCCATGAATTTAGTACTTTTTGGAATGAGCATGGCTTATGGGAAGAGACTCAGTCTCAGAGTTACTTGCGCCGTGGTACTGCGATTACTTGGACCGGAAGCTTATGAGCACTTTCGTTCCAAAGAAAATGTCAAGCATGCCTGTATCTTCACCTGCATAGCACCCCGTGGACAAATTCCTATTTGGAAAAGTCGATTCGGATTTTGAGCTTTGCAGGCATTTTCTTACAGAATTTAGGGTGATTAGAAGAGCTCTAGATGATTTTTGTGTATGTTGTATGATTAAATCATCTGTGTGTTTGACAAAGCAGCTTACATAAGCTTAGTTCAGTAAAAATGATCAAATTTGATCCTCATAGTATGGGTGTATTTCCATTAGGGTTTAGGGTTTTATTTATCGTATCCTTGTACATAAGCTTAGTTCAGTAAAGAATTCGCCAATTTGTTGGAGTTTATTTAGGTTTGGTTTTCAATTAGGTCTCTCTGCCTTGATGACCTACATGCGCCTCTTTTGACTAATTGATGGATTCTTTAATAATTTCTTATTAGGAAAATGCTAAGATTACCATATTTTTATATCACATTGTATCACCTCTGTAATAGAGATGGGCACCATTGTATTAGAGATGTTGTATAAAAATGTGGTAAGCTTAGTATTACCCTTCTTATTAATCATCTTGCTGTAAGAGCAATGGAGATAAAACATTTCTGATTTGTTTATACGATTTGAATAATATGGATTGCTCAGTGTTAATGGCATTTGCGTGCAAATCAAACTCCGAAACACTTCCCCTACCCATTCTAATCTTTGACACAAAAGAGCAAAAAATCTGGATTACTATTTGAAAAGGTATTTTTTAATAATAATTTTTTGTTTGTTTTTGGTTTTAACCCACCCACTCTCTTTTTGTTTAGGGTCGAATTGAACCCATACTCTTCGATATGTGTGTTTGTATGTAACAACAAAGTTGGCAGAGTGCCGTACTCTGCTGCGACGTTCTGTATTTGCAGTATTGTTTTTGTATACATGCCTGATTCATACATCCTAAGACCCACCAGCAACCGGCCACTTGTCTTATGCGGCAGAGCAATTACGCACACACTATTCGATAAGCGATCATCCAACGCGGCACAATCGTCGACATGGTAAACAGCGTGGCGCCCAAGCACAGCAGAACGAGTTCGAATACTCACGCCTCGCCACGTAACCTCCCTCTTGCTCATGCTCTGCACCCCCGTCCTGTACGCTTTCCCTCTCATCCTCTCGACGATGCAAACCAGTGAAATTTTGGCTCTTAATAGCTTTCCCCATGGTTCTTCAGTTCGATAAGGTCACGTTTTCTCTCTCTGAACCTTCGTTCTGATATTTCGAAGTATGAAATTTGCGATTTTGCATTGTGGGTTTTCTTGGATTTGAAAGATGAATGTGATATGAAGGTGGTGGCGCAGGGTTTGTGAAAGGAAATTTTTGTTCTTTTTGGTTTTGGTTTTTTCTTGCTTTTTGTGGGGTTTTGAGAGGATGTCTCATAGTTCTGATACAAGGAGAGAAATCCCACCTGGGATTTTGCTTATTAGAAGCATTAGAGGCAAAGATTGGAGTCTCTCTACATATAGATATGTGATTTTGCTTGTTACTTTCATAGCTTATGCATGTTACCATGCTTCAAGAAAACCCAGTAGTATAGTGAAAAGTGTTTTGTATCCTGATCCCAACAAAGGCACAGGCTTAGGCTTGGACCCCTTGTTTGGCAGGGTTTTTGTTAAGGAAGAGTTTGGAGGAAATGGGAGTTATAGGTTGATAGAGAAAGGTTGGGCTCCGTTTAATGGAACCGACGGGACATCGAAGTTGGGAGAGATTGATCTTGCATTTCTTGCATGTTACTCTTTGGGAATGTATGCTGCTGGGCATTTGGGAGATACATTGGACCTGCGGTTGTTCTTGACAGCCGGGATGATTGGGAGTGGCATTTTTGTTGCACTATTTGGGATGGGATACTTTTGGAATGTTCATGTGTTTGGTTTTTATCTTGGGATGCAAATGGTTGCTGGGTTATTCCAAGCAACTGGCTGGCCTTCGGTTGTTGCTGTGATTGGTAACTGGTTTGGAAAGGGGAAGAGGGGTTTGATTATGGGTATATGGAATGCACATACTTCCATTGGGAATATTAGTGGTTCACTTCTTGCTGCTAGTGTTCTGGACTATGGGTGGGGTTGGTGTTTTATAGTTCCAGGTGCTTTTATTGCAGTGGGAGGTGTAATGGTTTTCTTCTTCTTGGCTCCATATCCTGAGGACATTGGATTTTCTTTCCCACAAGGTTCACCTTCTGATTTAGAGGCAAACCCTAAGGACGAAGAAGCTAATATAAGAAAAGAAACTACAGAGGAAGATGAAACACGAACTATTAACCGAGCTGGGTCTGTGAGCAGGACAAGTGTTGGGCTTCTTGAAGCTTGTCTAATACCAGGAGTTATACCCTTTGCGCTGTGCCTCTTCTTCTCAAAGCTTGTGGCCTACACGTTTCTGTACTGGCTACCATTTTATTTAAGTCAGACAGGTAATTTATCCTTCATAGATTTTATATACAATCGTGATTGACTGGTATGATTTAAAACTGTAAGATTTTGAAATGCTGTCTGGATTGCCAGATAACTTCAGCTTTTTTCTTTACTATTTAATTTAGAATAAGAAGATTCGAAACATTGCAAGTGCTATTGGTTGTTATAAATATTCAAGAATATGTTGGCAGAAGAGTGGTGCACTAGGGTCTAGGGCCTCTCTATTATAAGCACAAAATAAACTTCTCTCTGTATCTTATGTCTCATTCTTTCTGATCTTTGGGTTGTGTGTGTTCATTTGGTTTGCTTGATATAGATTGATGCCCCATTACCTAATAGCTTAAGCTTTTGGAGTCTTTTAGTTGCCTAGAATGATATCAGACCTCTGGTTTGCACGAGGTCAGGGGTTTCAAACCTCCAATCCCCATTCCACACTTTTTTTTTTGTTGGTTTGCAAGGTGCAAGGCAGGACTGCAGCTAGATGTCTCTCTCTTGTACTGCATTTCTCTGCCTATCCACGTATAGGATGGGGCTGCTGTCTGTTGGTTGTCTAGCAGATTTTACATATTTCCCTTGATTTTTGTTTCATTCCAGCAGGTTCTAAAAGTGAGAGTAATAAACTTATTATTGCTTTAAACATCCTATGAATGGTAGTTGTCGTGATCATTGAAGAATTATTGGTTATAGTAATTAAGGCTGTCTACGGTAATTATTTTCCAAATATTTAAAGATTAGCAGTTACCTTTGGCAATAAGTTAGATTTACTGAATCGGAGATGGAAATATGCCATGAGCTTCTAGTTGACAATCTGTATTTTAACAAATAGCTGTTCAGGTGCGTTTTTTGTCCACTTCCTTGGAGGTTCACTAACTGAATACGCAACTTGTTTTGACTATTGCAAAGAATAAACACATGACTCATATTAGGAATCGTAGTAGCCTGCACCAGTTTATGAGCATTAGTTTATCTTTGAGTGGTTTATCTGGTTCTCAACAGTGTTTGAGTACTAGTAACAACAGAAGCAATGTGTCTTATGACAAAGCTGCTAATGTGTATATTGCTATCATGTGTCCCTAAATGTTTATGCTGATCCTATGCATGAGTGCATCTGTACTTTTGTGGATTGCAATGTCCAATTGTCTATTCGAAACTTATTTGAATGTCATCGTCCTCCATAAGTGTTGTTCTTTTCCAGACATTGCTATTGGCAATTGATCACTTCCAGGCAACACCAGAGTCATATCTTGTTTTTTGAGGTATTATTTAAAATCTTCATGCATCTAATATAAGGTTCCCATCTTGTTCTCTCTTTTGCTTTTGCAGAAATAGGAGGAGAATATGTTTCTGTGAAATCTGCTGGAAACCTCTCCACTTTGTTCGATGTAGGGGGCATAGTTGGTGGAATCCTTGCTGGCTACATATCTGATAAACTTAATGCTCGAGCTACCACAGCAGCCAGCTTCATGTGTGCTGCAATTCCAGCAATGCTTTTATATCGCAGATATGGCAGTATTTCACACAATATCAACATTGCGCTTATGATGGTTGCTGGCTTGTTTATTAATGGGCCCTATGCACTTATCACCACTGCGGTATCTGCAGACCTTGGTACGCACAGTTCGCTTAGAGGGGATTCTCGAGCACTGGCAACAGTTACTGCCATAATTGATGGTACTGGATCAGTTGGTGCAGCTTTTGGCCCTCTTCTTACTGGTTTCCTTTCAACAAAGGGATGGGATGCAGTATTTGTGATGTTAATGATTTGTGCTCTTATTGCGGCGCTTCTTTTATCACGTTTGGTTATGGCTGAAATTGCTGAGAAGACTTGCAAACAAGTTATTGTATCCGGCGGGCGACAAAGTTCTGGAGGTAATACTTCTTGTATTGTTCGCTTTATAAACAACTTCCTTCCCACCTCATCTCCAGCCAACACTGATGATACAAATGTCTGGATGGTCAGTGTAACCAATTTTATCTATTTTCAAAAACCTTATTTTGAGAAATGGGATGATTGTTACAAAAAACTTTTTGACTCTAGATAATATACTAGTAACCTTAGAGCATTATTGGTATTTAGCGGTAAGAGTCTCTTACATGATAGAACCATCCTGGTCAGTGGGGATAGTGTTCAACACGCCCTCTCATGTGGGATCCTAGTTTCTTCTTTGGGTGACTAGAGTTCTTATGTGCGGTCCTTGTTAAAATGACCAAGGCATGGTGGTTCTGGTTCCATATTGAAGTATCAAATGCAAAAGTTTAAGTTATCAGTGGAAAGGCCGAACCAATGGGTTTTAGGAACTTGTCCCAAGAGCTTAAGTCACTAGAAATCCTATATGTATATATAGCTTATTATTATTAGGAACTTAGCACAACCACTAGGGGGCTAGTGCTAAACACATTTGTGTTTGAGCCTAATGATTCTTCGTATGAATTACTCCACCCCAATTTCTATAATTGCATCTAACGTCCGTGGATCCTCTAATCAAGACTTCAGGTGTCTAGTTGTGGTGGTTTGGAATCTAATGTTTCATGGGTTTTGCTGATTGTGCTGTCTTGGATAATTTTCAATGGAGTTTGGATGGTTTAGTGAATTTGAGTTGTTGCTAGTTAAGTAGCTTTTGTTTATAATATGACAATAATATTTCCAATTAAGATGCCCTCCTGAAGATTCTGACATGATTTTCTTTACAATTTGGTGTTATGTGGTGTCTGATTGTGGCTCCTAAGAAGCCAGTATATGGGTGCCTGAAACTCTGTTTCCTACTAATCTCTACCAAAGAAAGACAAGTAGTGGATTACAATGATAAACAATTTTCAGTTCATAGAACAAAATTTTCACTATTTGGATGATAATGCTGATTTTGAACTACTGGTATTCTTTTCTTCTGCAGCTCCTGCATCCCAACCACTTCTAAGTGATCGACGATGATACTAAGGAATGCCCTCATGAAGCTTCATCATATGCCGGAAATCATGAAAAACAAGCTTCATTATGTTGATAAATTTAAGCACAACTTGTAGGTGATAATTTGTGGTCTTGAGAAACAAATTTCTTTGGCCATATTACAAAACGAAACATAAGCATCAGTATATGAGTAGAGCTTTTTAGCACCCATTTTGGTGTTTCTGTAATATATGCAAAATAATAAGCAGTTTTTAGATTTTGCTTACTTTGGGTAATTGCCGTCCAAGTTCCATTGTCATTGAGGAACTGGGTGAATTTTGTTTAGAGATATTGCTGATGATAGAATTCAATCTTTTCAATCTTTTCTTTTCTTTGGGTGACAGTCCTTTATTTACCGTTTAGAAACCAAACTTGGCGGTAGTGATGCTGTTTGGATTTCTGTCAAGCTCAAAGCATTTATATTTGTACGGTTAAAACGTTGCTTTTTTATACCAGTCAACATTTTCTCCAAGCTCAATTGTCATTTCTACATATTAATTGAGGTTTGGAAGTAATTGTTTGCCAAACCTCAGTAACTCTTTATGTTGCATTCTTTTTTATGTTTGTTTTTTTGGAATACAAGCGATAGTCTAAATTACAAGGAGGAGGGGGGTTTCTCACACACACACTACCAAGGTGTCATGAGGGTTCGAACCTGAGACCTCTGGTTTGCAAGTCAATGTCTTTTTTCACTAGGCTAGACTCCTTTTGATGTTTAAGTAACAAGTTGCTGTTGAAAATTGACTGTAAAAAAGTTGTTAATTGTGTTACACTTTCAGAGTAATAATGAAAACAAATAGCAATGGGATTAACAATCATGGATCAATTCCCACAAGTCAAGTCAATTGATAACTTACCTCCCACATTTACTCTGAGAGTTCGATACTTTACTAAATAAAACAAAAAGAGCAGAACAGAAAAGAGAACTAATATTTACTGAATTAATTTTCAAGCTGTGAAACATGATAATGAATGTTTTTTTTAACTTGTTTCAAGCAAGACTGAAGAATATGATTGAATTGATAATTGATTTCGAAATGCCATAAACGAACACTTTAATAGCAATCATAGAACTTAAAAAGAGAGAACTTCTGCAATAAAATCACATAAGTAAAGCTAGCTCTGTTTAGGAGAGTTCGAAACTTTCTTAAAAATCTAAAGATGGGTGCATAAAAAAGCAGACATAGCTCAATCACGATTAATCATTTTGTTTTCTGTGGCAAGTAATATTCCTCTTCTTCCCCTTTCAATTCATGAATATGTTCTCTAATCTGTGGTCCTACCATTGTAATGACACCTCATAAAAATGCTACAAACCCTACATTTGGCTCAAAATAATGGGCAGCCTAAAAGTTCTTATTCCAACCCAAAGACATAAAGATACATGCATATCTTTGCTCACCAAAAAAAATTCTTAGGATGGTGAAGATATTATGAAATGCAGATAAATACACAATCTCTAAGTGCAGAAGTTCGGGGTTATGTCGATGATGTCGATATTGCAGATGCTGTCAATATTGTCGATTTTCTACAGTAATAGTTCCTGTTTGAGAACACTCTTGTAGCTTCTAGTGAAGAATTTTTTTTAACTTTCCCCTAAATTTGAACTATTAATATTGGCCGTCGTCGGAAAGTTGGGTGTGGCATAATAAAAATCTAAAAACAAGATGCCATTTATGGGGCCTAATAGCTAGGACTTGATTTAGTGTAAAGTTTTGTGTTGGATCTTGTCTTAATTAAGTAAAGCATTTTTTTTTGGATGAGATCCAAGGGTGTCCACCGCCGACAGCAGTGACTAATCCCTTTTGCCGCGGGAGCTCTCCAAAGGAGATAAACAGCTGGCCATGAAATGCGCTCCATTCCCATGGGCGGGGATCGAACCCCCAACCACATGGTTCGTTTTGAAAGCTTCAACTCAGACATAGCCATCAATCTCTATCATGAATGTTGGAGATTTAAAATATATAAAATAAAAATCAAATAAATCCCCTTTTTTCCATCATTGTATACAATTATTGGTTTTTTAAAATCATTATTTAATAAACTTAACTATACAAACATTATCAAAACTAGCAAAATTACCCCATCTTTCACAAATAGTAATCTTTATAAAACTTTACATGAATAGGAACATTGGCATCTTCATAGGGATGTGCCAAATCCAAATTAGGAAAAAAAAAAGTTACGATTAAGTGGAGACATGTCTCCATGCAGACCGTGCGAGGTCATGCAATTGTCTATTTATTACCGGTTGACATGCCTCTCACAATACTTCGTCACCTTCTTATTAAAAAGAAAAGAGAAAACTATCTTGTATATTTTAATTTACTTCAAGATTGCTAGATTCAAGCTCATGTTGATCATGTACATGAATAAACGGGACGATGACTGTTCTTGATAGGAAGTAGATAAAATGTCAGGATGAAGGCATGGAATTGTTATTTGCAGGCTGCAGTGCTTTCCTTTTCTCATCCACTCACTCCTTGCAAACAGCTAAGGCTAGATATCCATCGAATTTCCATATGCAAATCAAAATCCAAAGCCTCAACACCTCCACATGAAAATTTCATTTGGAATTTTTATACCATTGTCTACTTAAAACATAACATACTAAAATGGCAAATGTTTTATGTTAACTGAACAGTAACTATGGCGCATCGGCGCATCGCAAGAAAATCCCCACTCAATTTTTTCTACGGTTGACAACACAAACAAACACATGACACATGCTGGCTAGCTGCATTGCATCCCCAAAGTCTATGGCTATTAGAATCCGATGACTTAGGTCTTGGGGCAAAAATTGTGGCCGCATATCACTGTACTTGCATCCTCCTTCTCGAGCTTTCTTAGCACAACATTGGCAAAACTAGAGCAAAGGTGGAGCAAGTGGACTGGTATAGGTGTAAAGGTGACTATGCTCCCATGGTAATCATTGAAAAGCAAACTTTACAAACATGTGAATGTTATATATACACAATTAAACTTATTTGAGGAACACTTTTATAGGGCCCACAACATGTTGTTTTTCAATTATCCGAACTGTCAAATTTTTAGATATTCCCTTCAAGATCATATTTGCAAAAAATCACTTGAATCCAAAACATTTTGGCTACTCAATTAGATTATTGTTATTTTTAGTCTTTTCTTGAAGCATCGTATTCATCTATTTTGTTGCTAGCAATTAGATGCCTTGATGATTTTCAATTTTTTTGATTTTTGCAAGGATGACCTATGAATAAAGACTTGAAAAATAAACAGTTTGGATTGTTGCAGGGCAACGATATTAACTACATTATGGGCTGCAAAGCAGAGAGGTTTTTGGGGAAAAAAATCAAACTTATATTTTGACTTGTTTAACTTATTAAGATTCAAAAAAGTCTAATTTTTTTTATGAATTTAATTGCAGGGCAACGATAAAAATAGGTACACTTTCAATTATTGTTGAACATATTTTCATTTTGATAATGTATTTTTTAGTTGTATTTATTATATTTGGTTTAAATAATTTAATGTATACTTTTATTTCAAGAAAAATTATAGAAACTGTAAGTACTAAAAATTTAATAAAAAAAAAATTCCCGTTGAAAAATTCATAGTTCCGTCCCTTGTGCATAATATCTACTTCAAGACTACAACATATCAGAACAGAAAAAGAAAATAGATGAAGCAATTAATGATTTATTATATGCCTGAATGAATACTTGCAAGCTCATTGATGTGAGTTATACCAAAATGTAGGGTTTTCCTCAAATTATTGTATGTTGGTGGCGGCTGCTTTTGTCACTGTGATTCCCGTGCAAGTTTGGTGGGACAAAGTTACCCAGAAAGTCTCTCTGGTGTGAGCCCATAACACAATGCGAAGTCCCCAAATGACTTTTATAATTTACAGTCTCCCCAACAACAAGTGAGTGGAAACATTAAAAAGAAAAAGAAAAAGAAAAAGAAAAATTATACAATCAATCAGTGTCCACCACAATTTTGCCCAGCTTCCTGTCTGTCTGTCTCTCTCTTTATTCTGTGATGGAAACTTGCTTTTGCGACAGGTTGGTTCATGGCAGTTTCATGCTTTTAAGTTAATGTCTGTGGGAAAGTAATGTATTTTCTTGTTTGTTGGGTAAATGAAGCATGCCAAAGTCATACACCTATATGTTAGCAATGAACATATAGGTCCATCCTTTTACTGTGCAAATTTTGTATCTATATAGTCTCGCTATCATAAGAACAGTTCATCCTTTAATAATGAAAGAATATCATGTCTGAAAAAGAATTGATACTTTTAATAAAATATCTATACATTTACCATTACAGTTATAATCCTCATCGATATCTCGATATTTACCATTAGAATTCGACTCTCGTCGTCTCTTATTTTGTAAACTAGTGTTGTCAAAATAATTTGTACAATATTAACAAAACCAAAAAAGGTCAATCTCAATGCATAGGTGTCAACCAGCTGCCCTTGTGCTATGAAATTCCAAGCACTCAAATGTTTGCCACATTAAAGATTCTGTACTCCTTTACTCTATATATCAACCTCACCGCTCCAACCCCTATTCCTCACATAATTCTCTCTCTTTCTCTCTCTCACTGTGTCTCAGCTCTTGCTCCATCCAACCTTATTCTCCATTCCTGTGGTACTCCAGTTTCATAGAGCCATGGCTCTCACACGTGCCATGCTCACCCTCACAATGTTACTAGCTCTTGTAGCAATGTCCATGGCTCAAGGCCCAGCCCCGGCACCAAAATATTTCACCCCCTCCATGCCGCCGTCGATCGCCGCCCCACCGACGACCACCATCGCCTCTCCACCGACATCTGTGGTGGCACCACCACCATCAACCACAGAATCGCCGGCACCTAGTCCCGTTGAAGCTCCTCCTCCCTCCATCGCCGCCCCACCAACCACCGCAATGCCCCCGTCCACGGTGGCTACACCACCAACTGCTGCCAGCCCACCTCCTATGGAAGCAGGCAGCCCAACTAGCCCACCAAGCCCACCAAGCCCACCAGCTGCAATGGGACCCGGGCCAGTCGCATCCAGTCCAAACTCAGGTGCTTTTGTTCATGGGATTAGCATGGCCTTGGTGGCATTCTTGGGTGGAGTTGCGCTAGTCCTTGCTTAGAACACAGGCTCTCCTTTGAAATTAATTTATGTAGATTTAGATTAATTAGTATATCTGTGTATTCTTTGTTTTCCTTGTTTCTTATTTTCCTAAAATTTATTGTTACCCTTCTTCTTTTCTTTTTTAAATTTTCTTTTGGGTTTGGGTTGGTTTTGTTAATGGTTTTTGGGAGCTCCATTGTGATTTATGAGAGGAGGGTTGCAGGGTGTTTGGACACATTTGTTGGATCTACTTAATAGCTCTTCTTTTGTAGCATTTTCTTGATGACTAGACGAATAATAAGAGAGATCCATGATTCTTGTTTGTGTTTCCAAGTTTTAATTAACTCTATATTCGTAAATCTCGTTACACATAATAGTTTCAATTCACAGTCTAACAATTTAACATATTTAATTAATAATTGGATTCACGGTCCAACGGAGAAACATTAATTTTAATTTTATATGTTGCCACACAATACTAAGCAGGCTTTAGAATCTAATCTAAGTTTACCCAAATCATTCTTCTTCCTATGTACTTTATTTTTATCATTATTAAGGGGTTTTTTTTTCTTCTTTTTTTCATGTCACAAAAAGATCCTGGCTCTAGTAGTTGGATGGATTCTTAATGAACTGTTATTTATCTTTTGCATAAGACCATTTGATACATACACTAATACACATAATCATACACTAAAACTGTGAGATAAAGGTGCATGGGAGAATATACCAAACAGCTTTTAAAAAAACTTAACCAATTAATTACAAAAGGGAAAAAAAAGGAGGAAAAAGAAAAAGATATTTTAGATGCCCTAGTAAAAAAGGGTAGTTGGCTTGCTGGAATTGGTAGATGGAGAAGTGATGAATTGGTGCAAATGGTGTCATTGTTGTGCAGTGGAATTGGTGGGGAAGGAATGAGGGAGGAAAAGTTTATTTATTTATCCTTAATTTTCCTTAATTTTTTTTAGGGGGGTTCTTGAGGGAGGAAAAGGGTTAGGTGGTAGGATTATGTGGAAGAAATGGGATGGTGAAATGCTTTAGGGGATAGGATCGTTTGGATTTTTAATTTTCAATTTTTGTTATTGTGGGTTAGAACTTAGAAGGGTTATAGGAGAATGGGCCTGTGGTGGTGAAAGCACAGGGAATGAATGGTTATTGAAGGTGGGGCAAAAGAACATTAAGTATGCATGTGACAAAAGAACATGAATTGGAAAGTGATGCGCACATGGTTTTTAAGCCCCACAAACATAGGAGAGAGAGAGAGAGATTGAGAGAGAGAGAGAGGAGAGTTTTCCAGTTCTAGCTCACATGGCTTTTTTCTCTTAAAATAGGAACTCCTATTTTTATGTTAATTACAGTTTGATATGTGTGTAGAAATTTTTCTTTTTGTGTTTTTCATAAATTATTTTTGCATATGTGTTAAACTGTAATTTGTAGAAAGTTGGAATGTCTCCTTTCTTCGAAGGAGGGAAGCAGTGTCCTTTCATCAATACAACTCAAGATCATGTGTTTAGTTAATCTCTTCTTAAGAATTTGAGGTTCTGTTGGGACCTCAACAATTCCGACCTAGAGACTCCAAATCCTATATTTAAATCACAGCTCGAAACCTCAAATATGATTAGATTTTGTGTTCGAATTCCCAATTCCTAATAGTATATATATATATATACAAAAGAGTTAAATACCAAAATATATATATATATATATATATACAAAAGAGTTAAATATTTGGTCATTGAGAAAAAAATTTAGCCAAATTGGTCATTGTGTTTTCCACAGTTTATAATTTATAATTAAGTGCAGTTTTTTTTTTTTTTTTTTTTGGAAGCATATTCAATATTC